GCTACAATAAGCACATGCTCTTAAAGCTTGTCACATGGCCCGCAGCTGCAAGGCTCCTTGCCTAGCCTGCTGTCTCAGTCTCGGCCTTACAGAGAGGACACAGCGCTCACACACCTGCTCTTCAACCACCATCACCAGACTTAATGTGGAACGGGAATTCTGCAAGAGCCAACTCCTCTACCACCAATGCACCACGGTAAAAACGTTTAAAGGAGTTGCTCTGATTAAGCATAGACCCAGTTGCATGGTTGTTCTGCAGAGAGGGGGACCAGGAGCAGCTACACCATCAAAAATTCACCTGTCTGTCTTCTCCAAGCCAACCCTCCGGATGGCAATCCCCTGTCACTCAGCTCAGCACCTTCTCTGAAATTCCACAGTGCATACAGCAACACGGTCTCCTTGGGAAAGGAAAGCAGAACAAAGCCACGGAGAACAAAGCAACAGCCCTGGCTGGACACAGAGATCTGACAGAAGACTGACAGGGATCAGTGGAGGAAATAAAGGAAGGTTGGTTTATAATTATACTTTCGTTTTAAACAGAGAAGCGTCGGGGTGAGAAGCTGCAGGAGAGCTGCCTCAGTCAGCAGAATGAAAGACAGCCTCTGTGACTAGCTTTCAGATAAGACATCAAGAAGCTGATAGCTCTCCAAGACCCTGAGAAACCACTTACAAAAATACACACGGATTTCTTTCAGAAAGCCTGCATGGGAAAGGCGTTTGGCAGATGAGAAAGAATCTGAAGCTCTTCCAAGAAAAGTGTCTCCATGTACTTTAAAGTCACAAATCGAGTTAGTTAGGCCTTGAAGCTTCAAATTTACTTTCCTCTTTTATCCTCCTCATTGCAAGCTGGTGCCTCAGATTGCTAGGAAGTGGTTTGGTGGGTCACACCATGGAATTTATAGACTGCAAACTTCTGCTAGACACAGCTAAATATCGCTGTGAAGCCTCAGCGACTGGCCTTCTTAAAATACTTAGTTAAATTGCCAGGGTCTGCCATGCTTACAATGCCCAAAGCTTCCACAGTCCCAGGGGGAGTTTATACAGTGGCAGTTAAATATCTTGGGAGCCTGGGAACACCACACACCACTTCCAAAGGAGGAGGTGGTAGGGAGAGCAAGAGGCTAAAAGGCAGGAGTAGTGTACAAAGCTCTGCTAATATTGGAATATTTTGGCATGCTCAAGCATGGTCAACGTCATATTTTTTCTATGTCCTGTATAGTCTTGTTTAACATGAAATCCATAATTATAGCAAAACACATCCTCCATAGGCAAAACGTAATAGCTATAGGAAACTTTGTGAAGACACCATCCCAGGATGCTTTGTGTAAAAGGCCCAACTGGTAATATATTACACTACAACACCACTGGGGGATGAGAAAGGGCTTCTAACCAGAGTCTGGAATTTCTCAGTATTGTGTTAAAACATTATTTAGGATAGTGACACAAATATGGCACTCAAAAGCCAGGATATTTTAAAATGCAACTACATTTCTCCAGCACTGCATGCCAACCTGTGGCATAAAGAGCTGCCATTTTACTCTCTTCTAAATTCCTCCTTAAACCCATCTCTCTCACAATAGCTACAAAGCAGCCCTGTGCAGCATGGGTTGGGAAACCATAGACTATAAAATTCACATTTTATGATCCTCCCAAAACATTTCCACTAATATTCCACCCCAGCAATCTACTCCCAACCCTGTGCCCTCTGAGGGGTGCCCATTTTCTGTGATTTCTTCAGATTGTACCTAGCAAGATAGAGCTCTGTTTTTTTGGGGGGGGATCCCTAGATACTATCTTATAAGAAAGAAAAAAAACCCCAAACTCTTGTGAACAAAGCATTTGAAAGACTGGACACTCCAAACTAAGATTCCACAAGCAGCTCTCTACTGCAGTGTGCCCTGTCCCCAGGATAGCCCCATCCCTGTATCCCAGCCATAGTTCCCCCTATGCTATATTAGTACTTTTCTAATATAAACCACATGTCCTCACAACAGCAGCTTGTTAAGTCACTTTAATAAGAATTACTGACTACATCAAAAGCTATTTACCTGGAAACCCTTCCAGGAGTCAGCTTCTCTAGTCTGCTTTGTCTACCATCTGCAAGTCAAAACCTTCTCCCAGGTATGCATTATGCCAGGCAAGGGCCAATATCTTTGTGTTGCACACTGCATATAGGATCCTCAGGGTATCTGTCATTGTCTAACACTCCACTACCCTCTCCAGGCAGACCACAAGCAATTCTTGCCTTTCTTATTTCTACCCTATTTTGATCTGGACTTGGTACTCATCCAGACACCATGACCACTAGAACCATGTTTTCAGTGCCAGTTCCAGCTGAAGGCCAAGAGTGCTTCAGCTTGGTTGGTTTTGGCTTTTTTTTTTTTTTTACTTACAGCTTCTAAAAATGTCTTGTCCCACAAAGTTCACAATGAGCTGAATGAAAGGCACTTCAAATGTTTGGGTAGCTGTCTGTGATACAGAAGACACAGGCTGAAATATGGCATGGATTGTTTGCTGAATCTACATTTACATTTCCAGAATTTCAAATACTTTGCTACAAGTTCTATTTTACAGTTCCGCTGTATTTAAATGTGCTATTGGAAATTATTTTAATATCTATACTGAACTAAAGATTGCTTTACAAGGAGAAGCAACTGTGTTTTCATTTGTCCCAGGTTTATTGTCTTGAACGTAAGTTATACTCGCACAGTTTTTCATAAACAACTACTATGCTTCAGTACCTCCATTCAGGGAAGGGTCCAGACATGCATTTCTGAGGAGCTGGGGCACTTCAGGAAGCCACTGCCAGCTGATGAGACAGCAGCAGACCCTCAGGTCTGGAACAAATTCAGATGAGCCATAGCATAATGTTCTTCGCTGGGCAGAGAAGTGACCTGCTTCTCAGTCAAAGGGCAACCTTCAGAATCACCTATTCCAGTTTATAGCCATCCACCAGTGACAATTGCTCCCTGACAGATGAACGGACACAAACAGAAAAACACCACCCTACCAAATAATCTCCCTTGCTTAATGTAATGGCATGATAGATTTGATATTGTAAATAATACACATTATATTGAGGTTTTCCATTGTAGAGGAGCCAGCTGTCCCAGGAAACTCACTGGACTAAGCAGACAGCAGCTATAGTTCACAGGCAAGATGCAGCAGTGAGAAGAACTCCGTTTATAAACACACTTGTGGGTATAGCATGAAGAAGTTTAACTCTTGGCAGGCTTAGAAAATGCCTTGACCCTACACAACTCATTAGAGGCAAAAGTGTTGCAGCAACAGAGCTGTGAGACTCATAGGTAAGAAAGCATGAATCTGACAGTCCTCCTTTGTTCTGACTGTTTTAATGAAGAAATGTCTCATCTTTTAGGCTTTTTTTGCTTCCAAACACTTAGGACAGAAGGAGTAATGGCTCAGTCAGATGCCACCTGCCATTTGCTCAGACAGCTTTCCCAACACATCATAGAGGTCTACACAGCAGGACAAAGGTGGTGCAGTCATGCATGTTAGTGCAATCCAGCTAAAGATATGGGCAATGGTACCATCCAAGAAAACAAAGCAAACAGAAGCCGTCTCCAGGAAGCTGGAGATGAAGGTCCTCCCCTAGCTGACACTACAAACTAAAGGGCATGCTGCACTGTCCTCACTTCTGCTGCCACTCGTGTTTTTGCTAGCACAATTTGTCTAACACAACCTTGTTTTAACCATACCATTGTCCCTCAGGGCAAGCGGCCGCCTGCACTAGGGCTGTGGTCCCAGCAGATTTTGCTGCCCAACCTTGTCATGTGGCAACTCCACTTTGTTTTACCCCAGCTCATCTGAGAATAAAAGAGTATTCCTCTGAGAAAAATCAAGTGCGTTTCCTTATTAGGTTTAAGATGTGAATAAACACCTGCAGATGAGATTCCTACCAAACTCATTCATCAAACCTACATTTGAATATCAGCAGGAGTTCCCCAGTGCTGTACTGCAACTGGTTAGGAAAGCCCCTGCAGACTGCATGCAGCCTCTGAGGAAAGCTGCCACCAGCCCTGGAGGACTTGATGCTACTGCATCAGTGATGACAAAGGTAAACCAAGTCAACTCAAGCACATGGTCCTCGTGTCCCTCAATCCGCTGAGCCACGCCACCTCGACATTCAATTCCAAATCGGTGCTTTCAGATTCACCTGCAACTTCCACACCAAATCCAACTCCATAGGCCAACAAATGGCTCACACTACAGCAAACCAACTGTTCCCCCAAAGCAGCCTCATACTCCTTTTTCATAGGCAACCAAGAGTGGTCAGGAACCCTGGGGTACTCTCTGCTTTGCTGCTGCTAAGAAGTGAATATAGCCAAGGGACAGAGAAAGAAAGGTGGGGACTTGGCTCCACTCCTCAGGCAGCAGCAGGGCAGCACAGGTCTGCACAGAATTTGTTCTGCTGGATAGATGCTGCTCCACCAATTACACCGAAAGAAGATGACCAGCTATGCCATTTTCTGTTTTCCAGAGCATACATTTCTCCTACCAGAAAGGCAGGGAGAAGGGTACTATACTAGCAGAAGGGACAATAGAATGAGTATCCTGTCCTGGTTTCAATTCCTGGTCCTGGATTCCTTGTTCCCCCATGATGACAGGAGCTGGAGGTGCACTCAGGCCCTGGATCCAGAAGGGCAGAGGTGGGGTGAGAAGGGAAGGAGGAAGAAGAGAAGAGAAGAGAAAGAGAAGGACATGTTATGCTCCTGAGCAATTCCTGCTATCAAGTCAACCAACTGTTGGGTTGTGTCTCGGTTGTAGAGGACAGGAAGGAGGATGGCAAGTCAACCACCACGCGTTCTGTCACCTCTCCCCACTCCCCCCAAACCCTCGCTCTATCCTGAAAGATTTCAGTGTGATATGATTGTAAACAGTTAAGGATTCCTCCAGTGCTAAGCCCACTACAAGCTGGGCCCACTCCCTCCCTCATTATGTACAATACATTCACCAACAACAGAAATTTATTTAAAAAGGCAACAGGTTAAATTCTGTAAACTGGATCCAGCTCCAAAACACACACATTAATACTACAAGTAAAATTCCATCATCGTCCTCTTCCACCCTGAAAAATATACCTGAGTTTAGCAGTCAATGAAAGTTTCTGCCCCCGCCCCCACCCTCCCCACCCCAAAAAATCCCTCAAACCCTGAACGAGACGCAGTCTCCAGTCATGGAAAGCCACTAATTTGCGATGCTCGCCCTGTGGTGGCGAGCCAGCTGCTCAGCTGGCTGAGGCTCAGCACCACTCCAGGTTTCCAACACAAAAGCCATGGCGGCATGATTTTCCACAGGCCCAGGAAGCTACATGCTGCTTGGGCGAGGGGAGGATGGGAGAAAGCTCTGCCCCTCCTCCCCCTTGTCCAAATCATGTGTGGCTTTCATCTTTGTGAGATCCTTTCTTCCTTGGACTAGCTCTGGAAGAGAAAGAACAAGAGTTGGAGGGTTTATCTGGCAGCTTAAAAAGAATAATCTCATGATTGCAAGCAACCAGTCCAAAACTAGCACTATCGGTCCACCTAGGTGACATTTTACAGAGACAACTCCTACTCCTCTTCATAGCAGTAGTTCACTTCCCAGCTTTCTCTAGTACTTCCCACTCTCCTCAAACACTTCACTCCTTTAACCAGAAGGGTTGTTGGGAAAAGAGACTCTCATTTCAACTCTGCTCTCTCTAGCAGCCCTTACTTGATCCAGAGGCAACGCTGGTGGTTTTTGTGACGTCAGGTCTTCCCGGGACATGGTTGCTGTAGGCATCTTCGGGAAGGGAACTTGAGCCTGATGCATTTGCATTCTGGAGCCAGGTTGAATGGAGAGAATTTTAGCACATGAACATCCAGAGCACATCCTGTCCACTTCATTGAATACATACATACAACATTCGCATACAAGCATGCATCTCCTGTGTTCTTTCTGGCTTCCCCCCAAAACACAACCTTTAATCCAAACCACTCCCCTAGTAGCTTAGTTGTAAGCCAAAGTCCCAGAATACTAGAAGAAGGACTGTCATGCTAGGACTATGACAAACAGTAAGAGGCTAAGCACATATATAAAATCTGAATAGGGAATTTTTGGAGTAGCAGAATTTTGCACTTAGGAGCAAAATGTAATATGCAGTGTTTTAGTGAGAAGTAATTTTCTGTGAGAGGAATTTAAGACAGAGAGGAAAGACAAAGCAGGAGGAGGGGGAAAAGAAGGCAACATTAAAGGAGTTCATAACAAGAGGCTAACTTCCACTTCAGTTAGCTGCTTTGCCACACTGTGAGAAAGATGCAATAAAATACTTGCAAGGAAAATGGTAAGAGTCTACTTGACTAAGACATGCACAACCGTGGATGACACATTAATAAACACTGTCAGATAAAACAAAGCACTGGTGTGGAGAAGGATGGGACAGGCCAACAGGTCTCCATGATAGCGATTGCTACTTGTTTTAAGGAGGTGCAATGAGATTGTCTCTCCAGCTCAAGAGACCTCTTACTCCGAGGGTCTAAGAGTCATCCTGTTAGCCTTTCAACTTTGCTTGCCATCCCCTCCGATTTCGTGTCCTTTCAAGGATATCCAACACTTACCATCACCCAGACATCATCACCCCCCTCCCGCCTTGCCTTCTCACAGAAAACACGATCTTACCCCGAGGGTCTATACAAGTCCTGGGGTGGCCCCCCCATGCCACCTCCACTGCCTCTCTGCTCCATCAGCAAGGCCTGAAAGTGACCTATGTTCTCATCTCGGCAGCGGTACAGGGGTCCCTCCTGAGAGAGACCGTTGGGCTGGCCAGGGGCTGGATGATGAGACAGGTGAGCATTCATGGGCGATCCGTACGTCCTGGGCTGGAAGTGACTGGCAGGATGACGGGATGCATAAGGAGAGCCAGTCTGTAGCATCACCCCATGGGAGGGGAAAGCCGACGGGCCGAATCCCATCCCCGAAGCCAGGTGCGGTGGCGGGGCTCCATAGAGGAATTCCCCTGCTGCCACGGAGCTTTGCCTCTTTGTGGCTGCGTTGTGGTTGTCCAAATCAAGAAACTCTTTGGGACTCTCTGGTCTTTCCTGGGACTCCTCGGACTTCTCGTCTTCAGGCCCCAGATCCTGCCCGTCGCTCGGAGAAACCTCTTTGGCACTGGCTGTGTCCACGCGGCTGGGAGAGGCCAGGGCGGCGCTCAGAGCCTCACAGCCCTGCAGGCCGCTGGCCGAGCCCCGCTCTGGGAAAGGGGGTCTGGCCAGGGCCGCGTGGGCAGCAGGGTGACTGCTGGGGCTGGCCTGGGGGTGGAGAGGCCTCTGCCAGTCCGAGTAGCCCTGTGGACAGGCGTAGTAGGGCGGTCGCTGGTAGTGGTGGTAGGAAGGCTGAGGCTGCGGCTGATAGGGGTAGGGCATGCCCTGGGGTGGCCGGTACCGAGAGAAGACACCGGGGTGGGCGCTGCTTGGTTGGAAACCCCGTGGGGGAAAATGCTGGGGGTGGGAGGCAGGAGGAGGAGGTTTCCCCCCCATCACAGGGCCGAACCCCTGCAGGCCCGGGTTGATGTGGTACCGCCCAGCCGAATTCGGGTATTCCAGACCGGGCATGTAGAGAGGGTGGAACTGATTGGGGGCGGCCCCCATGGAGCCAGTGTCCACACTGGGGAGGCCGGTGCCCTGCCCCATGCAAGGCACGGCCGCTTCGGGCAGAGCCTTCCCACTGCCACAGAG